AAGGTCTCTTCCAACCCTAACCATACTATGACTATGATACTATGTTCTTGAAACTCTACCCTGAGTGTCCATTCATGCAGATGTTTGCTCAGACATTCAGTGTCAAGCTTTTTCTGCCCTGGAGGACATCTAGAATTCAGATTTGGCAGTGCTGCAATTGGCACTTGAAGCTGAACATTTCAAAATCAATTTGATGCATCTTCCACCTCCATAGCGCCTGTGAGATGTGGGAGTTGAGTGCCTCTCTGACTGGGTGCCCAGTGAAACGTGATCTACATCCAGCCTATCTCAGCATTGCTCTGGTTGTACCATGATCATCTGATAACATCATCTGCAAGAGTCAAAACCTGCCAGGCTTAGACCTGGAGATCTAAAGTTTAAACCCTGCAGACATCTGTTCTTCTCTCTGCTGGTTGGCAGCAGAGCATTGTACTCATCTAGGACTTGGACCTGCTTGTTCCTCCCCTAATTAAGTCAATATGCAAGTTCATGCAAACATGTTGGAGATGCTGAATCTACCTTTCTACTCCAGCTCACCCTGTGAAATCACAGCTCTCCAACGTGCAATGTGTCCTGACCCTTTCACCAAAACAACTCCATGATTTGAAATCCAAGAAAACTGTCCCTGCTCAGTGAAGGACGCTTGGACTAGATGACCTTTAAAGGTCCTTTCCAACCCAAACCATTCTGTGATGTTATGATTTGATAAACGGGCTTCTCGCAAGACTCAGCAAGCTGCAAGCATGCTGCGGCCATGCAAATGACATGGCTTGAGTTGTCCATGGCTTGACATGTTCCAACCCCCCTGCCAGCAGCAGGGACACCTTCCACTAGACCACGTTGCTCAAAGCCTCATCCAGCCTGGCCACAAACACTTCCAGGGAGGGGGCATCCACAACTTCCTTGGGCAACCTGTTCCAGTGTCTCACCACCCTCACAGTGAAGAACTTCTTCCTAATATCTCATCTAAACCTCCCCTCTTGCAGCTTAAACCCATTTCCCCTTGTTTTGTCATTAACTGCCCTTATAGGAGCGTACACTTCCAATCTGTAAGTTGAATTGATGTTCACAGTATTTTCAGACTCCTGCTTTTCCTTGAGGTGCCCTGTGGGAAGACTGAATCATAGAATCATAGAATTGTTTGGTTGGAAAAGACCTTTGAGATCTTTGAGTCCAACTGTACCTGTCCACCACCAAACCACATCTCTGAGCACCTCATCTACCCATCTTTTAAATCCCTCCAGGGATGGGGACTCCACCACCTCTCTGGGCAGCCCGTTCCAATGCCTGAGAACCCTTTCAGTTGTCAGAAGAAATTTTTCCTGTACCTTCCTTGGCACAACTTGAGGCCAACTTGAAGCCTTGGAACCCCAAGCAATTCCTGCACTTTGAAGCTTTGGAGATGAAGTTCCCAAAACTTCCAGTGCTGTGGCAAGGATTAAGCAATCCTGGCTACCATTGGCCATCCCAAGGCTTCAGAATCCAGTTCCACCACGTGGCACCTGGGTTCTCTCCAGGTTTTGCAGGCTCCCAGCTCCCCCCCAGACCTGAACACCAGAACAAAATTGATTTTGAAATGTTCAGCTTCAAGTGCCAATTGCAGCAGTAGATGAACAGAGCTGCCAAATCTGAATTCTAGATGTCCTCCAGGGCAGAAAAAGCTTGACACTGAATGTCTGAGCAGATGTCACCTGCATGAATGGCCACTCAGGGTAGAGTTTCAAGAGCATAGTATCATAGTCATAGTATGGTTAAGGTTGGAAGAGACCTTAAAGATCATCTAGTTCCAACCTCCCTGCCATTAGCATGGACACCTTCCACTAGACCAGGTTGTTCAAAGCCTCATCCAGGTTCTCAATATCTAAGTGAAAAACTCTTGGTGCTTGAGTGGACCTGGAAATCAATCACTAGGCTGGAGCTTCCAAGACCTGGTTGAGTCGTTCATATGTCATCTGGAAAGTGTTGCACAAAAGAAATTCCAGGAGATGAACATAATGAGTATGGGAGCATCGTAGGCAATTTCAAATCCACGTCATGCCATGTCACTGGCAGAAACCAGACCAAGGAACATAGCTGTTGTCTTCATACTTCTTCTTTCCAGGGGCTTCCTTGCTCTTTGGGAAGAGTATTTGCCATCTGGGTCGGGGTGACCCATTCCTACAGTCCATCCAACAATGTTAAAGAGAACTCCAGCCTGCCAGGAGGTGAATGGAGCAAACAAAGGAGAGCAAATTGAAAGCTGCTTTCCTCCCAGCAATGTTCTCTCCAAGGACCAACACCAAGGGCTGGGTGCAGGTGGCTTTTAGCAGCTTAAAATTTGCCATCTGACCATTTTGATTTAAATTCCACTTTCTATGGCTCGTGTTTAAAGTTCTGCACATGGGTTTTGGGGGTTTTTTTTTACAGCAGCAGTAATGAACCTGGAGTTCAAACAGCACATGGTGAGATCAAAAATTGTCCGAGAGGAATGTGTCCCACAAACACAAAGCACGGCTTTTCATTCATTATTATTTCCCCTTTACAGGGAGGTTTTACAAGCTGTTTATTTTCTGATCCAGTGTTGGCAGACATGTGGTGGGAGGAGAATCAATAGCAGCACAGTGGGATGTATTTTCTTAAATGGTTTAGAAGGGGGAGGGTGGGGTTTTTGCTTTTTCAAAGGGGGGGGGGATAATTGAATCTAGTCCACACTGTACTTTTGATTTGTTTAACGTGAAGCGTGAAATGGGAACAGCCATGATTCTGTCAATCACTTTAACTATCATAGAATCATAGAATGGGTTGGGTTGGAAGGGACCTTCAAGCTCATCCAGTTCCAACCCCCCTGCCAGCAGCAGGGACACCTTCCACTAGACCAGGTTGCTCAAAGCCTCATCCAGCCTGGCCTTCAACACTTCCAGGGATGGGGCATCTACTAGTTCTCTGGGCAACCTGGGCCAGTGTCTGACCACCCTCACAGCGAAGATCTCCCTCCCATAAAGAGTTCCTGGAGAGCCAGTCTAGTTTTCAACAGCATTTTTCCATGTAGGCACCCCAACTCCATCCCAGTACACACCCCAACTCCTAAGATCATCAAGTCCAACATCCATCCCTGCTTCCTTCCCTCTCTGCAACTCCCCATCCACATCTGACCATCGCATTGCACTAACGTATCTAAGGAACACCAAAAGCAGTAGCCAGCTACAGATGTAGGACTGAGGGGGCCAAAATCACATCCACTTTTAACTCCCCAACCAAATAACTCTCTTCTCAGACCAAAGGCATCTTCACCCAAACCAAAGATTTTCTTCCCATCTCTGCATCAATGGTCCATCCCAATCCATGTTCCCCTACATGTTCCTCCTGCTCTACCCCTTCAGGCACTGGATGGCAGCTCCTTCCTTTCCTCTTAACCCTTCTGTGAAGTTATTGCACAGCAAGATGACCACAGAATCACAGAATCATAGTGCTTGGAAAAGACCTTTAAGATCATCAAGTCCAACCATAAACCCAACACAACCAATTCCTCCTCTAAACTATGTCCCTAAGCACTTCCTCTACCCATCTTTTAAATCCCACCAGGGAAGGTGACTCCACCACCTCCCTGGGCAGCCTGGTCCAATACTTCTACCCTTTCAGTGAAGTTTTTCCTAGCCCATTACGTTGTCCTGGAGATCAGAGGAGCATACCTACCCATCCCCATGGAAATGCCATCTCCATCTTTGGACTAACCCTGTTCTTGAGTAGGTATCTTGAAAGTCCCATACAACCTGGAGAATACTTGGACATCACTGCACCAATATTCATCTGCCTCCAGTCCAGAGGAGTCTTTCCTGGGGTGGCCAGTCTCTCCAAACTCTTTACACAAAGCCACCTCCAATTCTGACCCCACAAATATTGTATTCAAAATGTGGATTTTTTTGAAACCAATTTCCCCACCTGTCCAAAACTTTGTGTTTCAAAGAACACAAGGGTAAGGCTGAACCTTGCCTAGCTCCATTTGTGCTGCACTTGTGGAGGTCTTGGATCATGCAGCTCATTCCACCCCAGAGTTACTACGAGAAGGTAGAAACATCCAGCCAAGGACACTCACCTTTTTTGCAACATAACACATTTGCTCAGCAGGGAGATAGTCAAAGGGGAAGATGAATCTCCAGTTGAAGTTGCCCTCTCCTCCCATAGACCTGTAGTGCACATCTGTCTTCTGCTTGTACTCCTCATGGCCAACCAACCAGCTGCAAAATGCAAACACGTTGCATGAAAAACTAGAAACACACCAAGGATTTTGGAGTTCCTTCAACGTCACAGGGGTCATGAGCAGGCAATAAAATGTCTCTCACCCTTGTGGATGTATTCAGTTGCTATCTGGAGGGGTAACCTGGACCCTGTAGGAGACCTGAGAGGGAATGAAACAGTTCCTCCAGTGTTGGGAGATGAGCAGGATGACCATGAGCCAGCACTGTGCCCTCGTGGCCAGGAAGGCCAATGGCATCCTGGGGTGTATTAGAAGGGGTGTGGTTAGTAGGTCGAGAGAGGTTCTCCTCCCCCTCTACTCTACCCTGGTGAGGCCACATCTGGAATATTGTGTCCAGTTCTGGGCCCCACAGTTCAAGAAGGACAGGGAACTGCTGGAGAGAGGCCAGCACAGAGCCACCAAGATGATGAAGGGAGTGGAGCATCTCCCTGCTGAGGAAAGGCTGAGGGAGCTGGGGCTCTTTAGCTTGGAGAAGAGGAGACTGAGGGGTGACCTCATTAATGGTTATAAATATGTAAAGGGCGAATGTCATGAGGATGGAGCCAGGCTCTTCTCAGTGATGCCCAATGGTAGGACAAGGGGCAATGGGTGTGAGCTGGAACACAGGAGGTTCTGCTTCAACTGGAGAAGAAACTTCTTTACAGTGAGGGTGCCAGAGCCCTGGGACAGGCTGCCCAGGGAGGGTGTGGAGTCTCCTTCTCTGGAGACATTCAAGACCCGCCTGGACACCTTCCTGTGTGATCTCATTGAGGTTCCTGCTCCGGCAGGGGGGTTGGACTGGATGATCTTTTGAGGTCTCTTCCAATCCCTAATATTCTGTGATTCTGTGGTGGTAGCAGCCTGAGAAGCTCTTCAATCTCTTCTTCGCCCATCCCTGAGTTTTATGGGTGTTTTAAAGACTCAACACTACTTTAAGTTCTGGCTCAAAGTTGTCACTTATCCAACCATAAGCACACATCAGCTTCTAACCTGCCTTGTTGAGAGCTTTGCAGCCACCCCAACAAACTGACCTTGTAAAGAGCTCCTAAAGCCAGTCCAGTTGATGAGGCAACCACATTAAATCACCAAACGGCCATTTTTTCCCCTCTATTCTCTGTCGACTTCTAGAAGATTATTAATCAAAAGTCTTAAATGGCCATAAAGTTCTTCCCCAGGAAAATCCCAGAGTGGCCAGACCCTGATGTGGTCAGGGTGGTTCCCTGCTGCTTCCATAAGAGACAGGTCATCACAGCACAGTTCAGGAAGATGTGGCAGGGGAAGGTGAGGTTGGCCATGAGGAAAAGGTGAGGCAGAGGGGGGTGGAGCACTGGAACAGGCTCCCCAGGGAGGTGCTCATGGCACCAAGCCTGACAAGATTCCAGCTGCATTTGGCCAAGGCCCTGAGGGACATGGTGTGAATGTTGGGCTTGTCCTGTGCAGGGACAGGAGTTGGACTTCATCACCCTGGTGGGTCCCTTCCTACTCACAGCATTCAATGATTCTATGATTCTCTGGTCTAAAAGAGCTCGTGGTGGTCATTCCACAACCAGTTCAGGAGCAAACAGAAAATTTTCCATAACAACTCCTTTTTTCCAGCTGTGAGTTTTGAGCTCTTTCCC